GAGCTCACATGGCTCTTGTTTAAAAGGCACCATCTGCAGATGTTCAACAAGAGAACTTCGCTTCTACGTATTCGGTTTGGTGGTTTTGCTACACATGTCTTAAGACAGAGCTTCAAAACACCTGAATGAAAATAATTTTCCAGTGAAAGCTAAGATATCTTGTTTTCTGCTGTAGTAATCTGCTTTATCTTCCATGTTTGTCTGCCTTACTCCTTACTAGAGACCTAGAAGGCTGTAGCACTCCATAAAACCAGGAATTTCCTCTGTAAAAATGGGGGATTTAAAAACAAACCCCAGGATTTTTTCTATCCTCTTTATAAAGTCAATGGGGCAAAAATACACACAGTCAACATTATCTCCCCATGGCATGTCAGCTGTGGCCCTACACCATCTGGTTACAGGGAGCTTATATGAACTTGTGGTAAATTTTCAGAAGCCTGGACTTGTCCTCCCGCTCTGTGCGCACAGTTTGGCACTGGCGACCTGCTGCTGTACAAACCTCTCATCATGTATTGCCCTGACTCTGAGCCACGCCTGCGCTCAGCTCAGCATAACTCGGCAACGGAGGGAAAAAGGCGATGCCGAAGCTGTAGCCATGCCGATGTGTTGACAGCGCTGCTGGCAAAAAAGACGCTGCTGCTTTCTGGCTGTCCTCAGCCACTTGACGCACAAACAGTCGCTTCGCCCCGTGGTGACCTGGACAAGGGAGGTGCGAAAGGACAGATGAGCAGCTGAGGTCAAGAGAAAGTGACTGCCTGCCTTTTTTAGCATCAGCATTCACATATGCTGGCACAAGCTTTGTGGACCGGCAGCATGAGAAACCCTTGTGGCACTCGTGGCTTAGGGGATGATCCAAGCCCTGGCATAATTCCTGGCACAGACAATCAGCAATTGCCATACTCCAGCAAGGTCTGAATGTATCTGGATGTATCAGAGCCGAGTACAAGTTGTTACAGAGCACTGCGCGACGCAGGCGAAACCAGCCTGTCCCTTAAAGATCTGCATACTGATTTCTAATAGAGTCTGATCTACCCTGCAAGCCAACAGATTTATTGTCCCTTTCCAACTCAGTCCGAAACCTATTAAATCACAAGTCTGTCTGAGAAGAGTCACAGTATTACACCCAGGATTAGGTGAAGCACAGGGACACAAGTAAAAATTAATGGGGGACAGGGGTCAGCTCTTCCTCTGAGCAGCATCTCCCACACCTTTGCCATATCCACAAGCTGTGGTGCTGTGTAGGAACTGGGGCAACTCTTCCCATTGCATCAGAACCATTTGGCTTCTTCAAAGTCCCAGAGCTGCAGAGGTGGGGTCCAGCTCTACCAAGTGTAGGGAGATGCCTCCTCCTTGCTGGGCAGACTTCCCTCTACTGAGCCAGCTTTTGAAGTGGCTCTCCAGATAAGCGGACTATGTCTGTGACAAATACGTGTTAGTATGCCTTGGACAGTCATTGCTTTGCATGCCTTGATGGTTCAGAAATGTAACTGTACTATCTGAAGTAGCCTAAGGCACTAGGTCACTTTGTGAACTAATAACTTTCAAGATGGTATGATCTAATTCAAAGTGATTTTTAGACTTTCAGGAGTTAAACGTAACATTTAGTAAAAGTATTGAGAGAGAGAGAGAAAGAGAGAGGCTAAGCTTTTTTCAGTGAAGTTTTCTCCTAGAAAGAATAAATGCTTAATGCTGAACTATACTGTACCAAAGAGTCTGGAAAGGAGACGCTGATATAAAAGCAGCTGTAGCAGTAATTAGGCCATGGCCATGCCTCTTCGCTTGGATCCAGCTGGGCTGGGGGAAGTGGCGGGTGCTGTCACTCTGAAATAACAAGTGCCAACAGCGTGTTCCTCCCCCTCTGCCAGGAGCAACTGTCCCTTGGATTTGCTGACGGAGGCTCTTGTATTTCAGTCTAAGTGAGCTGGATGAGCAAGACTGACAGTGGAAATGGTTAGTTGGGTTCATCTTGATTGAAACAGGTCAGAAAACCCTCAGAAGAGCATGCCCCATCACAAGCCTGGGGAGTGGGGGCTGATCTGCCGTGGGGGTCAACAGGGATGCACAGCTGGGAGAGAGGGGAGGCTGGACAGGACAGCTTCTTCCATGGATGAGCACAGCCGCCTATGCACACCCAGAGTAACCGCTACTGTTTTCAATGACAGATTTTCAAGAACGCCGCAGACAAAACTCTTCTATGTATCACCTCAAGCACTGACTACACTTCTATTCTCATTTAGACAAGCTGGGACAGCATGTTTTTTGTGTATGTATTTACATATATGCACAGGTGCATATGTTTGGATGCACTGGCAATAAAATCTTAATAAGCAACCCCATTCTATGTAATTTATAGGCTTATAAAGTAATTAATGAGCATCAACATGTATCAGTCTGTATGTGGCCCAAACCTTATATGGTTAATAGGGTGGTAGCTGGTGGGTTAGAAAGAGCTAAATCAGAAAGATTTAGGTTCAAACCATTAAACTTCGGGAATAGCAGCATCCTTTAAAAGTTGGCCTACAATAATATTCAGATGAAAAAAATGCTCAAAATGCTCAGAGAATTAAGATTTGAGTATATCAAGAGGGGATTAGCCTGTTTCCAGTGGCTGTGAAGAGAAAGCATACTGAAGCAATAAAAGATAATCAGGAAACCTCAGGGGGAGACAAAAACTGTACATAGTATTTACAAAACTGTTTCTGCCCATATACAATACAATTACACTGAACATTAAAAATACATTTTGTAGAAACAGCACAAATCAAATGGGACCCCAGAAAATCCAGCCCTCCCTCCAGGTTGCCCTTAGCATCCTCGTGTCCATCCTGCCTTCTTCCAGGATAGAAGTCACTTCCAGGGAAAAAAAGCCTGGCCAGAGCATTTCTGCATCAGCCAGGATATCCCCTGCCTGTGGACTCGCCTCACAGTCTGCTGCGAGCAGAAATATATAAGACTTAACTTCTAACAAGAGGAAACGTGTAAAGGCAGCAAAAAGCTGATACTGAGCGCAGCTTAGCCGGAGGAGAGAATGAGGGCTGCCGTGTACATAGCCACAGACACACACCTGCGCATGTTTGCGCACATCAGTCCAAGCCAATTCAGCCACTGTGTGAAGTTCCACAGCATTGTTTATTCTAGAAACGAGAAGGGCTTCAAGGAGAGCCGCTTTGCAGCAGTCCTCTGTGCACAGCACATAAACCTGAACGTTAAATATCGGTTTAAATTATTAAGAATAAATTTAAATTTAAAAATAGACTAATGCAAACAAACAAAGTTCAGTCAACATTGGAACAGAGCTAGTTTCAGGAAGCATATTGCTATAGCAAATGCAACTCCTTGTTCCCTTGGACACTATGAGGCAATGATCTGGTAATTCCAGTTCAGCACTGAGATGCACATACTACCCAGCAAGGAGAAGTTACCACCTCTAGCATATGGAGCTCCATGTTCACATTTTTCTTTTTTTTCCCATCACAACAGAAAAAAGCCAACATAGCACATTAGCTTTTCCCACAAAGCGCCTGAGATGACAAAATTTACTTGGAAAATAAAAATTGACAAAGCAGTACAAAGAAGAATCCTGGTCAGCTTGTGGCCAACATAAGCCAAGATGGGTAAGAAAAAGAATAAAAAAATACTTCACATCCGACACCACAAACCTTCCTCACTTTCTTTGAAATGAGGAATGAGAAAAAAGGTCCATTTTGCTGAGACTTGCAACAAAGTTTTCTTTCCCTGAACCTGGAAAATCCAGGTGTTAGGGTACATAACTTTTTTTATATGTATATAAATACACATGTACATATTTATATAAATATAAAACCAGAGCATCCTCCTGTTTCTCCTCATAACTTATTATTATTAAAGCTTGTAACAGAGTTAGCTGGACTCTTCAGAAGTGAGTGTGCACACACACGGCACAGGGAGTTTAGCTTTACTACAGCAGAACAGCCAGGCAGGGAGATGAAATGTTGGGTGACCAAAGTGGATTTGGGTGAGCAGCCAGGGAAGGGCAGGGACCAATGACTGGAAATGGCCTCGCTTGCTCCAGGGTGGCACTCTGGCCTGCCAGAGCCGGTCTCTGTGAGCAGACTCAGTGACGGCATGGGAGGAGAGCTGCACTGACCCACCCGGCCCCTCGGCAGCCCAGTCACCCACTCACCATCTTCTTTACCAGCCGCTGAAGAGGGACCATCCCTTGCTTTTAAAGGAAGTCCCAGACTGCCCTCCAAGCACATGCAAGCTAGTTCTCTTCAGCAGTACTTCGCACCACGGTGCCATAGGACTTTTTGCCTATTTTCCTCAAAGTGGCCTGCACCGCTCCCTGCCTCTCTTCAGTTCACCCTCACCTAGTCCTCCCAGACCTCCTGCTTGCTGGCAGAGACCAGACACTTTTTTCTCCCCCGATCCACAGGCTCCTACTCACACTATTTTACATCAATACTTTCCCACAGTCTTGTAAGACCCAGTAATTTCCTCAGAGAACCGAGTTTCTCAGAGGTTTTCTGCTCTCGGAGGCTGAGTAAGTCAGGGCTGGTGGCACGCACTCCTTGAGCGGTGCTGCCTTTGTTCCAGAGAGGGCAGGGGCAAAGTGCAAAAGATTTCTTGAAATCAGAAGGTATTTCCACCAGCACCAGCTCTCTCTCCTTCATGTTATATAGCACTTGTTTCAAGTAAGGTATTATTCATGTGTCTCTGCAGCTTTCATTCTTCCTGGGGTGAGTGGAGATCAGTAGATGTCTACTGGTGACCAGCCAAGCCACTTCATCATGATGCATCCTGGAACAGCTGAAAACATTCAAACCCAGCTGCATTCTTCATAGAAAAAAGTGCTTTTCTTGAGAAACAAAATGAAAACAGTGTTCCCATGGAACATACTAAGGACTCAAAACCAGTATTTCCTATGGTGGGAAGGATGGAGCACACCTACTTTATTTGGCTTTATCTCAGTAAGGAAACAGAGCTACTGGCAAAATTGGCACATCTTTGTGAAGTTGTTAAACTTTGGACCCTGGCTGGAATGTAAAAGAAATTATGGAGCAAAGGAGAACTTTGCCTTATGCTGGGCTTCTGCTAGTTCTGGCAATTTCATGTGCAGGTTGTCCAAAATAGTTCTGCTAGCCAAGTAAAGATGAATCTCTCAAATAATAAACTGTGGGTTTTCAAAGAGGCCTTTTGGGGCACTGCTACAACCTGGTAGAGGTAAGTCTTTTCATGCCCCGCCGCTGAGCCAGATTGGAGGACAATACAGGCTCCAGCCTTGGTGCCTGAGGTGCTCGGTTTAAAGCAAAGTAAGTGGCTGCCATTGCACCCTGTAAAATAGAAAAAGAGAAAAGAGAATTTTTTTTTCCTCAGCAAAAATGCTGGGCTGAAATTCAGTTCTGATGCTTTTCCCCTCCCTGTCCTAATAAGGAAATACAGTCCCCTGAAAAAAAATGGACATGCATGGATGTTTTCCATTAAATTATAACGTTTAGGCTGGCAGACAGCTGGGGTGTCCCTGATTCAAAGTGGTATGTGCGCAGAGTCCCACCAGGTCATTACAAGGCAGATGGAAGTTAAAAATATGGAGCAGGTGACAGGTCAAAAAGCTTTACTGTTAATATGGTGCCATATTATATTTGGCCTCTGTGGCAAATAATCTTCCCAATTCCTCTATCACTTTCCAGAATATTTACACAAATGACAGCTCATTCTGCAAGGAAGGAAGAAGCAGGGGGTTGGATGTACCTTCACCAGGTGAACATCCTGTCTGGTGAGTTGGTTTTGAGACAAATACTCCCTGTTCACTATCCATGGATGTCTTAGGACTTGGACTGCTGTGAGGCGCTGATGAGGGTCTACGTGAAGCATCTTTGACACAATGTCCTGGGTTTAAAAGGGAAAAACAGTCAAAGGGAAAAAGTAATTAATAGCAATGCAGGTTTTACTAAGATCTTCCCGGTGGCAGTGTCGTCACCAGCATGTCCAATGGAAAGAGGGATGTACTTTAAATATGTTTTATATTTTTTAAGTGGAAAGTCTGATCTACAAAATTTACAAATGTAATGTTCAACTCTTGACTGATAACCCAGTCAAAAGATAATGTGGAGAGTATTCATCTTATTGAGTGTTAATTATTAGTCCCCTTGTAGGAATGATAAACTCCACCTAAGAGAGGATGCCATCTGGAGGCATCTCTCCAGATGGCATCCTCTCTAGGAATTCCCTCAGAGTTTAGCCATTCAAGTGGCTAAAATTAAATTAGATTAGTTCTACCACATCTGAACATTTTAATTTCAAAACTGGACATCTGATAAAAAATTAATTGTGAGGCTCATAAGTGTTGACGGAAAGATGGCGAATTTACTAGGATGGCTTGCAGTTTTGTGATGGGATATTCTTCCATTGGATACTACTGGTTGCTAAAACTGAAATATCTTGTGGGAATATCTAAATCCTGTCAAAGTTTTTGATTATTGCCAGGCAATTGGAAGTTTGTCCTGTCCATCTTCTGACGGGAAGCTTTCCTGTCCATCTACATGTCCTATAGACTAGTGCACAGCTTGGTGCCCAAAAATCTCAGCATCAGATGAATTCTGTTATCTTGGGTTTTTATGCTTTGTGATAGATGAGCAACCTAAACGATGAATGGTAAAGGAATTAAAAATGCTAGTTTATAAACTGCCTGCTTCCGGTTAACTTTGAGGAGCAAAAAGGTGATTCACATATAGACCATGAATTTATGACATTGACCACCCTACACTTCTAAAAGTTCAGTTGCAACAAAAGAGTTCTGCACTATTTTGATGTTAAGAGTATTGACAATTGATGGTGCTATATTATGCCTTAGTTTAATGAAATAAAGTACCAAAATTCCTAACACACTATTGCATGCAGAGTAGTAGAAACATAAAGAAGGAAGCTTGTACTTCATAGGGCACCAAGAAATAACTCTTCTGACTATCTCTCTCTGAGGTTTGTTACAATTGCAGACTGCAAGCCCATTTCAGACAACAAGAAAAAAGTCTGAGAAAGTGTTTACTGACCTTTGCAGTATCAGATACTGAATCCCAGTTTCCTCCTGTAAGTGCATATTTGCCACTGCCAATCCTGGCCAGAATCTCCTCTGGGGTGTCATCTGGTCCATTTGCAAAAGGAGTGAACCTATTTAAAAAGAGAGGAAGAAATACAGTGCTATTTGCAAGTATATGATTTCTAGGGTCTAGTGCTAACTGCCAGCCATTACAAAAGGAATTTGGTTCCAGAACTGACCACAGACATCGCTGCTTCATTTTCACTCAAACTATACAGTCCGGTGGTTCCTCATATTAAGTTGTTCTGCAGAGGAAAAGACTGATTCCTTAATTGTTTTTTTTTTAAATTTTGTTCTGTTCTCATTTTTTAGGAATGAAATATTCTTTTTAAAAAATAGACAGGTTTTTATCTCTTTATTTGTTTTAACTCTGCTTTATGGCCAAAAGCATAACAAAATTAATACAGGAGAAAATTAGGATCTGCAACAGAAAAAAAGGAAAAGAAAAAAGAACCCTTTATAATCTATTTCACAATGCTTTGTTAGCCATAATGTGCAAGTCTGGTGGGCAAAACAAATGATCTGCAATAGGTTACTTCCTGATCTAGTCAGTCAGAAATTACTAGTAACATGCACTCAGCTTTACTAAATTAGTGTCACATGCAGAGGGCACACTTTTTGTCTTCATAAAGTGACAAGTGATAAGATTTTTGCAGCTGACTACAACCTGTCAGGCCAAATTTTACTCTGCAATCTTGAACAGCTGTGTACGTTTAGAAGAAGGGGGTATTTGTGATATGTATACTTTTCCTTCCATCTGTCTTTTCTTTTCTGAAAGCTCGCCAGTGTGTTTTTTAGATTGTTAAACAGTTCGTTTGGCCACAGCTTTCTATCCCACCTGGTTTCTAATAGCACATTCAATTCCTCATGCTGTATTTTCTAATTTTCAAAAACGTGTCAGATTTCACAGAAGTTCAGCCCAAAGAGATACATAATATTACTGCAGTCTGTCAAGAGGGATAGACTAAGGGTTAAGGACTGGCTAAAACTCCAAAGTCTGTCACTACCTGCATTAACAGGATCCCAGGCTTGTGCTCTAGTCCTGGGTGTCTGAGCCCTCTGTGCTCACAGTGATGATGCAAGGACAATAAAATCCTGGTTGCAAGTAATAGTCAGTTCCTACTAACTCTCTTCTGGTGTGGAAGAACAAGACCATCCCTAAATCGACAGGCTGGATCGATGGACTGAGGTCAATT